CCATCCTAAACCCTAAACCCTTCAAGTGATCTCCGTAATTACTGGCATAGGGATGTGGCTCAACAAAAACAAGACGCTAGACATAGGGACTGATCGGGAACGCCAGTATCCTGCCAGGGACCCGCCCGTTGCCATGTCTTCCAGGGGTTTTAGGGGCACCCCACAGAGCGAGAGCCATGTCTCGTAGCTTCCCAACCAGCAAGCCCGACCTGGCGCCCAAGCACCCCACGTGAACCCCTCTCCTCTTCCACCGAAGCCAAGGTTTCGAAAGCAGCCAATGTGCCTGGACAAACAGTCTGTTGGGCATGGCCGACTTCAACGACCAATGGAGCACCTCGCAAAGTATACCAGTTCCATGTCGGAAGGGTTTGGAGCCCCCGCATCCTGGGCCTCCAAGGTCGGCGCCCCGAACTGAAACTGCTGGTAGCCCATGGGCCCTGCGCTTGGACGAGTTGCTGTATTCATCTGAAATCATGTCTATAGGGCCTAGGGGTAAAGTGATGAAGGGAGTGACTCCGTGTCAAATCTCTCAAAACACCGACAAAGCGAAGTCAGTTTCACCACCAAGATCCCCCAGTTCCTGCCTCCGAACCTTCCGCCTTCCATGTCCCTGGCCCTTGCATCAACTCCCCTTCCAGCCATGCTTTTCCCCCAAAGGGTTCCCCCCAATATACTACCCGACCGCCGCGCTGCTTCCGCCGCGGTCCGTCGCCGCGCCTTTCCCCCCTGACCCGGCTGCCTCGCGTGCGAACCTCCAGGGCTTCGACCTTGGAGGCCTTGGCTCCCCTGGCGGAGGCGGAGGCGGGGCGCTCAGCGCACGTTGGACCAACTCCGTCTCCGTTGGGTGCCATTGACGAACGCCAACGAAACCATGCGACTCGGGGGAAATCATGGGGGTGCCACGGTCCAGAATCCAGTGAAGATTCAGTTTGCAACCACTTTTGGAGTCCCTATACTAATATATAAGTGACCTTTTTCACACTTCACCCTCAAATGATACATTATAATATATATATATATATTTATTTGTATATTATGTGTTTTGTTAAATCAGGATCATCCTGTCTGGGTGTCCAATAGACTACCCTACCCTACTTATAGGTCTCCAGACAGGGCACCCATTGGAAGTGCTAGGTACGCTCCCAAATGTTCGCCTGGGGAATGCTGCTAACCAACCCGTCATCAAGTCATCAGCACTCAATCCGCTCGTGCAAGTCAACATCTTCCTGACTCAATGTCTTTGGAAAACAAAGCTTAACCACTAGGTTCACACCACCCAGTTGGTCACACCACCCAGTTGGTCACACCACCCAGTTGGTCTCCATATGAGTATAATAAATCGACTCCGGCACACTCCATGGAATCTTTGCCGAGCAGTTGGGATGGTTGAAGAGGGTTGAATCTAAGCATATAGTGAATCCATGGAGTGTCTGGGGACTTATAATTTCTTGTGAGTGACCCTATCTAGCTTTCGAATGATTGAATCGTTGAAGGGGTTCACCCCATGGATGAACCTGGGCCAAGGACGCGCGCTCACGCCTGATATAGGCCGAGACCAAGGTATCCAGGGTCAAGCTCTCAAAGAGCACCTTTTGCTGCGGGATGTCGGTCCAAAGAGTAAAGGATTCACATTCACAACGGTCACTTTCACAACTGAAGCAGCCACGCAAGGGCCCTTCTGTTCATTTGTTTTAGGATGTTCGAGGGTATTTGGCCATGTCTTATTTCAACACTCCAAGCGGTTTTGGTGCCTGAGTCTATACCGACTTCACAAAGGCCACCAAACAAACGATTTGCATCGCACAAAGGGTCACAAGGGAAGCAAACATGGTCTTCGTGAGAGGTTCATGTTTGGTCTATTCCCATGAAAGTGAGTCAAAACATAAACAGATACCATTGCGGAAATTGAGCTCTTGGCAAGGAAAAGAACCTATAGGACTATTGGATAGGGAATTATCCTCACCATCAGTTCCACGTGTTGCATTGTGGCGCAAGTGCGTGTCCTCGTTTCGGGTATAGCTTGGGGTATAACAGAAAATCACTTGAAGGTGCATTGTGGGGCGCCCCTCCTTATACACTGAAAAACATGTTCCACAGGCCTGCAAAAAACGTATCTGGTGTAGTTGAATTTGTGTCGATCCAGGCACCGGATTCTTTTTTTCCCAGCACAAGTTCAGGCTCTGAGCCATGGGAGACCATGGTTTGCCACTCAAATGAAGAAAAGAATCCATGCAGTACCCATTCAAACGCTCTTAGACCTTCATATGTATGGAGGGACCAGACCGGAATCTGCTGGAAAAACAAACAAACAAAACAAAACCATCCCTAGCTAATTGAAGGACACGTGAACCTAGGGCTGTTCGTGCACGAGCGGCAGCGGGCAGCTCTCGCACCTTGGCCAGGACTAGAAAGCTGAACCAAAGGAGCCCCGTGGCACGGCAAGCGGTCAAGGTCGGTAAAAAGACCTTGGAACAAGCGACCGCTGGGGACGACCCGAAGGAAAGTGGTTCGGAACGGGATCCACTAGCTGGTTTTGGGTGGAACACAAATAAGGGGATGGGACGGGAGTGGTTTGGAAGGCCTACTAGTGGTAAAGCGCTTCCAATCTCCATGGAGATCCCACTCGTTTCTGGCCATGTCGGGTGTCAACAATATCACCCCAAAGGATCCTCGAAGCAACTTCAAACACTCAAAAAGAATTGCCACTGATCCAGGATGTAGAGAAAGCTTGGATCCGGTGTCTTGTTCCATTGCTCCTTCACACCATGGAATTTCCACGCGGGGACCTCCACCTCGACCCCCAAACCGACATAAACTTAAACCGACCACTTGTCGTTGTCCAACTCGATGTGCCTGTCTCGCACACCGCAACGCCAGGCCCTCACATCCGCTCCAGGTTTGACCCCGCGCAACATAGTCTGGATGTGCTCGCAAACGTCTTTTTGGTGCTTTCTTTTGGCAGTCATCGATGCAACATAAGTTTGTCCATCAACCTGCCCAGAAATACAGTATATCATATCCACCTTGCAGCCATCAATGTTGCCAACAACCTAGCCATGTAAACACAAAAGGATACAAAAGGCAAATAACAGTGCAAGGAAAAACACGTGCCTGTAGCGCATCAAATTGTATTGGTCAATTGTTTTAACTGTTGGAAGGTGCTCTGGGCTGCTCACTACTTTGGCAGCACTACTTTTGAGCGCTGCCCAAACATCCAGCTTTGGACCCCCAAAAATTGGTCGGCACAGGTCACCCCTCACTCATCCTCTTCCTCCTCCTCCTCCTCGGCAGAGCCGTCGTCCTCCTGGTCCGCGTCCTCGTCATCCTCTTCAGCCAGGTGCGAGGCCTCGGCCATGTGGCTGCATTCGGCAAAGTGCCACATTTGGCAACGTAAGCAGTGGAGCAAGTGACACTATCGAGTATGGCAATCGCCTGAGGGCTGTAGATCTTGAGGGACAGCGACCAGCAGTCTTTGATCTTAGATAACTGGTTGGTGTTTTCAACCCACTTGAAAAAATATTAGTCAGAGGGTCCAATCATCCCCAAGTAAGGGTTGAAAATAAACATATCCGAAACCATCACCTAGATAAGGTGTGTTGGGGAGATACTGTTTGTAGTTGACCCCTCTCCGATGGATGCGGATCCAATCCTCCGCATCGTCTACGCGAATGCGTCAGAAGTGCGCATACTCGGTAGACCCCTGGGCACTCCAAAGCCACAAATGTAGAATGTGTGAAAACCCATGGGCACCGGCAGGATGTATGCTTTCTTTTTTAAGTTTCCCAGGCGTTTGGATGATTGACTATGGGGTATGCATGGGTATGCTAAAAGGGGTACGCTCCCAGCTCTACACAATCTGGACACGTCACGGGCCATACAAACCCGTCGCGGGTCTTGAGGTCGAATCCCACTTTAAGTATGCAAAAAAAAAAGAAAAGCGAATTAATTATGACATTGCAACATGTGAAAATGATTCTGGTACATCAGTCACATCAAGTTGAAAATTATTCTCGGGGGGGGGGTTGACACCCCCCATGAACCCCCCTGTCAAAAAATGATTCCAGAGAAATGATTCTACATAAATGACTCTGCCCATTGACGTACCCCCTGGAATCATTTTTTAGCGCAACACCCATCTTTAAGTCACCCTAAAGGTGCCCATCGAGCAAAAGCTCTTGATTTGAACCTGGCTGCCTTGAAGCTGATTGACCAAACCATCTGAGTTCACAGCGGGCCATCTTGGGTCTGGAGAATACGGGTTTGCTCTGCAGTTCGATGCTTCTCTCAAAGCAACGTCTGGCTGGAGCATGTCCGAGAGAGTTCCCCCAACTCTGCTTCTTTTTTTTTTTTTTTTCGCAGCTGAGGCGCAGTGTTTTCAGCTGGGTGCGTTTCAGATGAGGCTTGGAACAAGGATTTCTTGATGCAACTCGAGCCGATGGAATAGCTGCCACTTTTGAAGGACACGGATAATGCCTGGCCGTTGAGGCACTTGAAGCCGCACGTCGCATCGTCATAGGACCCGAGCCGAAGAGAAAGCTGAGCTGACACGACGATTTGATCTACAAACGAAGCATTTCGTTTCTATTTTCTGATACAACAACAAACATAAACTGTTGCACTCACAGCAAACACCGCTCCTCAATCTATATAGATTCAAGAGTCTGACACACTGCGCCGGACAAGAAAGTGTCAACATCAGTGCTAGTGACAACATCTGCTTCTTTCTAAAATAAGTGAATGAATGAATGAATGAATGAAGGAATGAGCGAACTTCATTCCCTGCTTCTTAGCAGCTCCCGTCGCGTGTCTGTTTACAGAGCATCCCTTGAACAACCAAATGCTGCGACATTGTCATCGGTCCATATCTAGTCCAAGAAAGACCTGCTAGGCACGCAGGATACTTCATTTGCCAAAGCACTCAAACCCATTGAGATAGATCCGTTTGCATAAACATAAACATATAGAAATATAAGATCTTTTGCTCCCTTTGCTCTCCATTTCTATCCATTTCTTCTCTTCTTCGTTTCGCGGCTTAGCAGCTCGCTGGGATTCTTCTTGCAAAAGGCCGCTGGTCCATTGGTGGTGTCCTTGCAGGGATTCTTCACCAGCGTCGCCAGGGTGGGACCCTTCCAATTCTGCACCTGGCCTTTCCTTAGGAATTCTCACAACTTCCCGCGCCGAGGCATGCCGAAACAGACCTTCCGTAAGCGGCGTAAAACCCGTATGCTCGTTCTTTCTCAACCCCGAAAAGGGGAAACACTGCACCGACACGGGAAAGGCGCTGTTTTCTCGGGGCGCCTTTCCGGTTCACGCGGTGTTCGACTCGTCCATCTGAATCCATCCTCTTTCACCGTTTTGGCCAAGCATCCCGTTGCATTTGAAGCTGCACGTATCAGTTTTGAAGCTGTATCCCTTGTTCTGCTTGCATGTCCTTGGTCGGTCTCGTTTTGTGGGCGGATCGCGCCGATCCTCGCGTGGTGCCTCGTTCACTCCGCTCCCATCGCACAACGCGAGACACGCCTAAGGCTGAGAACGCTCCGTTGGCCAATTCATCGAGCCCGGAAGAGACCCACAATGGAACCTCTGTTCACCACTGACTTCCAAAGGTCTATGTTCATGGAACCTGTGTGGGTATCTTCCAGGGTGTAAGTACGGTGTACACTCCCGAAAACTAACATGGAAGTGGAAAACCACCTGTTTGTAGTGGAAAATAGTCTTCCAAGGGGCCATTCTCCACTTCCATGTTAGTCTTCCAGGGTGTAAGTGTAATGCATGGTCTGTAGTCTATAACATCCAATGGAAGTGGACTTGCGCAAGCCCTTGAGGCACCGAACGCCGTTGAGGCACGCAGCGGAACCGCACCCAGCCGAAGCCACAACGGCCATCCCACTCTGCAGAACTGGAGATGTAGAACACGGGGGTCTCATTTCATCAAGGCCTAGCTGAAGCCTATGGTTCGTTGTTCTAGCAGAAGCTTTGACTATAGGAAGCTGGTTCGGTAAATGAAGAACGTTATCAACATGAACCAGTCAACATGAACCTTGATCATCTTTCGTCTCCTCACCGCTCCTCCTCTCCTTTGAGCTCCTCTCCTCTCCCACGCTGCCTTCTCCTCCCGATTCATCCAAGAGACTTCATGGCCTCATCCTTCACGCAGGGAGTTGGACACATGTTTTGGAAGGGACTCGGCCGCGCGCAGACGATCGGTCGGATGGCTCCACGATTCGGTCGATGGGGTTTGGATGGTTTTGGGGGTTCTGCTTCTGGTTTTTGAGCCTCGGGAAACCAAGAGGGCCCACGATCAAGCTGAACAGGCATGAATTCATGGGGCAACTCCACTTGGAACCAGCCCACAACTGCCAAAACTTCAAAGGAAGTGATGTGTCCACATGACCCCTTCGTTAAACCATAGGTCTGTTGCATCTTTCTCCGAAGCTAACATGGTTTGCAGCTACGCATCCGACCACAACGAATCACAACGAAATCCATTGGTCTATGCCAATGCTTCGCACCATACATATATATATAGACGTATGATGGCGTATGAACATTTAACAATACGGTTTGATCATGTTTAATGAACCTACAGTTCTCATTCAAGGTGTTGGGGGACAAGTTCCCAGCAACCTCTTGGTCCATGTTGGTCTTATGTCCCGCAGGCCCTCTACACTGCTGGAATGGAACCCCAGCGCCGCACAAGTTGAACAAAAACTATATAGTTTCTTGCATGGACCCCTCATATGGTGGGAAACCAACATCAGTGAGAAACAAGGTGTTTGTCCGCTTCTGCCCACTTAAGGTTGGAGGCCATCGCTCTTAGGTTGGAGGCCATCGTGTTTTTGTTCTTTGTCCGCTTCTGCCCACTTAAGGTTGCTTATATATATATATACTTAGAGTAAACCCTTGCCAGAGTCTGGCATTTGGTGGTCTCAGCTTCGAGCGAGAAAAGCGCGAAACTCAGGGTGCTGTTGGTGCCTGCTGGGTGCTTTCCGGCTGTGCGTGGTGCTTTGCGGCCGGTCGAGCGTCATCATCATATTCACGGCCCAGAAAAATCAGGGGTGTCCTCTTCGACATACGTACGTTTGATCGCCCACAGCTAACATATTCTGGATCAGCACCCCCCCTGTGTGTCCTCTTGCGGTGCAAAGGTGTTTGAGCTCCCCCGCGTGTACTCTGGCGCAAAAATGCCAAGGTGTTTGGATAGCCTTTTCCTTTTCACACCTCCACTTCCCGCTGCTTTGGGGTGTCAAGCGCCTGATTCAGGTCCCAGGTGCTTGGCCGACTGGCTCCTCTCATCGGTCGTCTCCTCCGAGTCCGCCTGGCGGAGGCGACCGTGAAAGCGAGAAGGTCGCGGAGCCAAAGAGAACACGGTCAGGGAACACGAAAAGCGGGGTTTTCATGGGGTTTTTTCCCTTAAAACGAAGCCCTTGAAACATGTGAAAAAAGGGTCTCATGGCGCAAGGAAAAGCCAGGGCCACGCCAGCTGGCGGGCCCTATAAGGGCCAACCAGCCAGGTCGTGGAGTGTCAGTGTCCAGATGACTCTGCCGCTTTCAACCTCTTCCACCGAACCCTGTTTTTCGTTTGAGCTGTCCCCAAGAGGTGTACTTCCGAGCCAAAGCAAGCACCGCCCAAAAACGAACCCAGCACCCAACTGGTCAACAAGAGTAAAGAAACAACAGCCTACACGCTTCCATTTGTTCAGTTGACCAGTGGGGTTGTCGCTTTAGCACACCACGCTTCCAACGCTTTTCCGTCATCTCGTCCCGATGAGTTGAAGGTGGCCACTGGATACTTCATGTTTCTTCCATCCTCTTGGATACTTGGCAGGATCCATTTTTGAAGCAATCTCTTGTTCTTGCAGACGTGAGATAGCCTTTGGCATTCCCTCAGACGTGAGATAGCCTGATGGTGCTCGTTCACCTTACGCAACTGGGTCATGGCGCAATCCTCTGTCTCCTCGGCACCTGCGACATGGCGGACTTCAGAGCGTGACCAGGAGAGCTTCAGAATTCTACCACTGAAGTCACTATGCAAGATGTGCAAGGGAAGAACCTGGTTGCCCCGCTCGGCCGGCTAGGCAACCCCATCCCTCATGTTGGACGTTGATCAAACCACAAAAAAACACGACGCCTCAGCAGGTCGACCCGACGTCTTTTTGACCGGATTCGTTGGACCTTGTAGGGATCGTAAGGGAGGTCGTAAGAAACTGAGGACTCCTGGGCTCATCCTTTGAAGCTGCGATCCGGTGACGTCTGGGCATCATTTGCCGACACAGTGCTCGAGTCTCGGAATTCTTGGATTCAAGTAAGTACGCGGCCCGCGTGATTGACGATAGACAGGTCAGCATCCACATTTCAATAAAGCGATATGATAATATCCAATTACCAGTAAGAGTGGATGATGGTTAGTAAAAGGCCTTATATATATAATTCAAACATAGTGATACTTGTTAACTGACAGTTACAGGTGAAGTTCGGACAAACCCAAGTGATTATAGTATTCCCAACCACGAAATCAAGCAAAACAGAAACGTCGCGTCGCATGGCGTCCGACCAGGACAAATATGTTCCGTGTCTTCGATGGCTTTTCAACCTACTTAGTCCAATAGTCCAACAACTGCCAATTCACTGAAACATCTATAGAAATTTCCAGGAACACCTGTAGGCCTAAGTGACCTAAGTCCACTTATTAGGACACATCCACTAAGCGTGCTAAGTGGACTTGCGTCGGTACCTTCAATGAGACATATGATATGAGTCTATGAGTCAATGTGTTATTGAGTCAATTAAGTTGCTATCTGAGTCCCTTAACATCCTTTAACTATTGAATGTTTTGTCTATTTAACATTTTAACTCTTGGTTCTTAGTAACCGGTGCGGTCATGCAAGAAAAGATTGAACAATGGAACACGGCCTTTTTAGAGTGTTCTGTCGCATCCCCAGGCCATGCGTCGGCCATGAAATTCTTCTCAACGGTAGGCCCCACCAGGCGCCTTTCCACCGTTCTCCTTCCCTAAAAATCCACTGCCGCCTTGGGGATGGTACAACGGGGCCCGACACTGACTGGCGCCTACATAAATAGTCGAACACATCACCGTACCGGTTCGGTATGTGGTGATGTGGATCCATAGGGCTTGATGGATTTGTCCCAAACGCTGAGAGGAAATCACCCAAACCCGCGGCCACGCGGTGCTGGGAAGGGGCGCAAGCAGCAGCTCTGGTCTCCGCCGGAACGGCCGATCCTCCATTGGTTGAGAGTAGATGGCACAAGTTACCCCCAAGTTAGGTGGTTTATATGGACCCCTAGATCAAAGGCATCTTGGGGTGCCAGTGCCATCTACTCTCAATCCACTGTAGGAGTATAGCAAGCCAAAAGTCGAGCTAAAGGTTGAGCTATTGCCATTTGGAGGTCCCAATCCCCAAACAAGGTGAGAGCGGTGAGAGGTGATCCACCAACTGGGCAGGAAATAGTGCCCAGCTTTGGGCAAATTTTGTGCTGATTGAAAGTCTTGTCATTTGTCCATGCCAGGCCTTTAGGTTGCCTATCGTTGGGTGGTTTCTTTTGGCCACGGGCTGAAGGCAACAAATACAAAATACTGAGAATTCGATGCATCATCACGCTGGACACAATGCTACTTGTCTACAAAAAAAGAGAAAACCGAATAGCATGCGACTTGTCCCAACTATGCGCCTGCCAGCCAGATCAAAAGCAGGCCTGCTGGGTCTCCAAGGGTCTGACACTGCAGGATGGCTCTGGTTGCCATATAGACATCATCAAAAGACTATCCCATAGGTCGGTCTTGTGATGGGTCCTTTTTCACTGGGGTGCATTTTAGAGAGTCAAACAGTCATTTGCCTTTGCGGGGACATTTTTGTAAGACTTCGAAGTTGACTTCCCAGCACTTGGAGTGCAATGTGGTCACTGTTAATAAAAGTTTCTGTGGGAGATAAACTTAGAAGTTGCAAACCATTTTTGGTAAACAATGATGGACTCGATTAAATGCCGGACGTGCATTTTAAGGGGAGGGCCTAACCGTGCTGATCAATGGGGCGTCAAAATCCGAGTTTTTGAGGCAAACCCTAATTAATATCTCGTGCATTTAACAAAATCAGGGGGAGGCTTACTGAGGTCGGTAGCGCTACCGACCTCAGTAAGGGGAGGGCCTGTTCTGCCCTATCTTTACTGAGGTGAATCCCTTAAATGCAGTCGAAATTGGACAAAATGTCAATGAATTCTACACAAAACTGTCTCAAGTCACCCTATAAGTGACCACGTTCAATGAGCTGACTCGGGTCGTAGTGGGACCGAAGATGAGTCAACATGTCATGTCTAAAGGTTGAAATGACTTGCAGCTCTTAAGTCATGTTGTATTAAGTTGGTGGACTTGGAAGCGAGCACGGGCACTGGAATTGCAAAAGTGATTTCTTGACTTTGTAAAATGCGGGTTGGTTCAGGTCACTTAACCTCTGGGATGGACATCCAAAGAGCCCAACGGACCCATGGAACCCCGGACCTCTTGTCCGAAAGCACGAAAGGCCAGTATCTGTTAATACTGTATGTGTGTTGATACGTGACATGCGTATACTTCTTCCAAGCTGGACCCTTTTCCACCTTCATGTGCTGAACTCTCCCGCAGTAACAAGTGGCAGTAGATTAGACCCAAACAACAATTGGCTTCTGTCAACTTTAGAACACCGCTTAGGGCGACTTTTCGAATTTCCCCCCATTCAAAACCAAACATATGGCTGTCTCTTCAACGTCTGAAGGCTCCCCCGGATCTCGCCTGCCACACGGTACATCGTAGCAACACACGTTGGCTGCTGGCGTTGGGAACTCGTGCGAGCTTCGATAGCTGCCCACACCGGTGTTGAGCCGCCCGTGTCGCGGTGTTTCTTCGCGGGTGCTCCCGTGCGGTCGGTCACGGACGTGTGCGTTGTGGAAGAAAAAATGGGCTCCATAGGTTTTCATATCATAGCTAGCGGTCACAGAGCCATAGTGCTCTATTCAGTGTTTTCTAGCTTGTTCTGGTCAAACAAAAAGTCATATTTGTCATGTCCCACCCAACCAAAAACTCCGCTTGCAGCTCTTCTCGCAAGGATCAACCAGGACTCTCCCACACTCCCATGGCGATTTATAAGGCTTTGCCAACAATTGTCTTTTTGGGGGGCTGTATCTGTTGACTGTTGATCGAGTCAGGATCATTTTCAGAGGGTGGATTCCCTCCGGTACGGCCCGTCCATGGTCGGATTGACGGTGAAACGGGATGAAAAGGGATGAAAAAAAACGCCAAGGAACAAAGGTTCCCAAATACGAAACCTGTCCACCAGAATGGATGCTCTCAGGTGCTCTGACGTGACCGTTTTTTTGCAGCATCGCCGGCGCCACAACGATTGTCATTGGTCACCAACCAGGCTCATTGCAGCGGTGAGATCGTGAGGTTGTGTGGACAAGAAACAAATTGACGAGGTTCAACCAATTCGGCCAACCAGTTGACAGTTGGAAGACTTCAATTCAAACCTCCAAAATCCTCTCCAATCCCGGGTTCAGCGCAAATGAGCAACTGTGAAGGTCACTCCAACCGGCACTGCTCCTTTGGAGCAGCGGCGGCCGCCCTTAAGCCAGCACAAGTCCACCTTCCTTAAACACGCAGCAAGGCCTCCAAAAGCACACATGGCTCTTCCGGGAGGCTCAATCGACTGGACGTCCTCAACGTCCTCAACGTCCTCAATCCTCGTCCTCGTCAGCCAGCTGTGAGGCCTCGGATGAGAAGCGGAACCACAAAGCAATACCTATATGCTTGGGCGGCTTAGGGTCAACTTTTCCAGAAGTTGGAGCTTGTTTGCGGCTGCTTGGACATCATCATGGTGATTATATATATGTATGCATTCTTGTATATATATATATGTATAGTTATATGTAATTACTATAAATTCCTTACCCAAACACTACTCCCTGAAAAGCATGTATTAAACTACATTGAGGTGGTGTCAGGGGTCAATGTATAGGCATACATATATATATAATATAGATATAGATTTATTCGATGGAGTATTCAGTTCATGGAGTATTTGGGCTAGAGTTATGACAATCACCTGAAAGCCCTATATAGTTCTTGAGAGGACAGCCAGCAGTCTTGCCAATGATCTAAGCAGGGTGCTTGGACTGTCTGTAGTTGTTCCTCCAATCCTCCCTGAAGCGCACGTTTAGACAGGTCAAAGGATGTTACAAGCTGCCAAACCGGTTGTGATGCGGCCGCCTGAAGTCATCCCGAGTCCCAAACCGGCGCCATCACCCCTATCGCCGACTTCACCTGGACACCCACAAGTAGTGCAGGCCCCATTGGAGACCTCTTGGAAGGTGGGTCCCCTTTGATCCATCTTAGAACCCTTTTAGCACCCTCCAGTTCGCCACACTCGGAGTACTCCATCGAACCCTCCGGTCGGTGAAGTCGTCGCCCAAGGCACGGGTGGAAACGTCTCCGCCGAGGATTGGAGCAAGTAATTCTGCTTCGAACACGTCGAGCTAACTGAAAAGCTGCCTTTGTAGGCCACGGTCATGGCCTGGCCATTGAAGCACTGAATGCTGCACGTCTTATCCCTGTAAAACCTCAGGTCGACCGCGAGGTGTTTGGCAGAAAAGAGTCGAAGTTGCATCGCCGCCAGCGTAGAGTAGGAAGGGTGTCTATGAGTCCTTGTTTGTTCACAAGAAGGAACCACAACGCACGAAAAAAACACAAAAAAATACACACCTGAACAAAGACCGCAGCATGGCGCAGTGCAGGGCGAGGAAAAACTGAGTTGTTCAATCTACAGTAAAAGATTTGGAGTCTGAGACACTGGCACCAAGGAAGAAATTGTTAACATCAGTGTTCCCCATTTCTGATATCTTCTTATAGCATTCAGTCTCGCGTGCCAAACTACTACCTGCAGGAGTCCTACTCTGACATCCGCCACGCACGGGACATGGACATGTCCAACACGTTGAGATCTGTATTTGGTTCATGTTCTTTTCTCCCCAAGAAGCACCGAAACCATGATCTCATTCGCTCCGGAAATTGCTTCCTTTTGCGGCCTCAGCAGCTTCGAGGGATTCTTCTGGCAATAGGCCGCGGGACCCTCGTGGCTGTCCTGGCAGGGATGATGCAGCAGCTTCGCCAGGGTGGGGCCCTTCCAATTCTGCACCTTGCCTTTCCTTAGAATTCTCCGTGACGCAAAGATCATCGTCCAACGACCGTAGCCGTGTTGCAGGCAGCCCACCAACGACCGTGGGCACCAAAACGGGTGGAGTTCGGAGTTCGAGGCTAAACCGTCGCAACGTGTAGCTCGAATTTTGTTGTGTCTATTATGTGTCTATTATATGTAGATAATCGATATATGATATATATATTTTGTATTGTTGATATGTTTTTACAATATAGGGAGAGGTTCTTGTTGAGCAATGGCACCAGTCTATGTGCTTGCTCATTGTAACCATGCGCACGCCTTTGGTAAGGTGGGGTAATATGAAATCTATACAAACCCCTAAAAGGGTAACTCCCACTAAACATGTATTGGAAACATTTGGACACCGTTTCTATTGGGGGCCACAATACTGAGTTTTCTTCGGCTCAATTTTCTTTTCGACCGCCACTAGACAACGACAGAACTCCGTTCCGTCTCTGCCCTACCACGACAGTGTAACAAGGTGCATGAAGCGGTCGATTTGACGGTCACTGTCACGGTCACTTCACCATATCAATCCATATCAGGTCAAGCATCGCATTGCATTTGAAGCTGCAAGAATTTGTTTTGAAGCTGAATCCTTTGTTCTGCGCTTGCTGGCAAATCCTCAGGGCGAAAGCTCTCCGGAAAAGAAGGTAAAGGCGGTGCTTGTTAACCCTGGCTGCAAAGAGCTTGGACAATGCCAAACTCAACATCCTCGTGTGGGTGGAAGCACAAACTCTGGATCTTGAGCACACCGTATGTCGAGTGACTGACTAAAACTTGCTGGTCTTTAAAGTGGAACAATCATCTGTCAAGAATGATCAAGATGTGGATTTGGATGCTCCAGTCAAACTACAGCTTTGAAGAAAAAATGAAAGCTGGCGCGGCAAAGGCAGGGGCCTGATGTCGCTGGTGTACGCAACGGTCTCTGCGCAACTCAGCCGTTTCTGAGGTTGATTCAGCCGTCTCTGGGGTCGGATGAGACCAAACGCAGTTGTCGCGATGTCACTCCCAGTCACCACAGCTTGCCACTGTCAATCATTGGGTGTTGACCTCTTCACAAGCACCCCAAGACTGAACAGCCAGCTATAGGCTATAGGGTCTTGATTCATGAAACAACACCACAGTCCACAGTCTTGCTCAAGTCTTACAAGCAACCCAAAACATGTTGGTCTATGTTGGTCTTACATGGTCTTACAACGTCCTTATCGTCCTTCTTGGATCATTTTTGCTCATCCTCTCCTTCCATCCCTCCACTTCCGTGTCTTTCCAACAAACATGCGCCACATCGTCCCGAGACACGTCACCACGTTACCTCCCTTCCTTTCGAAACCAAGGGACTTCGTCGCTTCCTCAAGTACGCAAGGGGTCGGACAATCGTCCCTGCCAGCGGGTCGCGGGAACGGTTCGCCGCGGGAACGGTCGCGGGTCGCGCGAACGGTCGCTGGCGGCGGGAGGCCGGCGGGAGGCCCGGGGTCTGGGGACCTGGTCTGTTTCGAAAATCGACGAATCCTCCCAGTCCGGGTGCTTTCTGACGTTGACCTGCCCTCTTCTACCAGTACATCGGTCGGGAATTCCGCAGAATTCCGGTACTCTCTATGTTCGACATCCCGACATGTGCTGCCTGCCTGTTAGATCAAAGTTTGAGACCGTGCGGGACAGGGATATGTGTTCACTATCAAAACCTATCGAACTCATGAGGTTTCATCTGGCAACCTTATAATATATAAACCATTCTGGGCACCCAAATTAGATCTGGTGTGTGTATGTGTGTGCACATGACACCTTGTTACTGGGTAAAGTGAGCGACAGGATGCTGCAAACAGTCAGAACTTTATGAGCCTAAAAAGTGGCCGCTTGTCTTTTTCTTTGCAGAGTGCATGCAAACTTCGGACCACGAGATACACGCGCCACCGCTCGTGGAATGGAATGGAAGCAAAATAAATGTGCATGAAGACTGTATGTACATATATGTCAATGTACCCTCCTCAAAAGGATCCTGCAAGGATACATCTAGTGAATGTTGGCTCTTTCCCTAAAAAGGAACAGCCCTTCATCACTTTATCATCCCGTAAAGAAGCTTCTCTGATTTCTCTAGACTCCCCAAAAAGAGAAGCTTCCGCCCAGCAGTTCGGTGCAACGGAACTGGAACAACTCAAAATGACTCAAATGAATAAAGCAACAGGAGGACTGCTGTTTGGCCTGAACTTCTTCCGACGTTGTTCTACCAAAGCCTTTAAGGTTGGTTGGAAGCATCGTCGAGAGACTGGAACCAGTGACTTTCTGCTGTGGGTGCTGGCAAGATGTTTGCCAAAGCCCAGCAATGTCTTCCGAAGTCGGAGGATGGCTTAGCTTGGACGCTGCTTTATGAGGCGTTTTCGCTGCGTCTTTCATCGTTGTTCGCCAAATTCAGGTCCCAGGTGCGTCTGGGCCGACTGGCTCGTGTCATTGGTCTTCTCATCCAATTTCACCTGCGAAGTTCGCAACACCAAAACCACCACCGTAGGTGTGTTCGCCGCCGAAGCGGCCAACCTGGACAGGCCTTTGAGCTGAACTATACGATTACCCTGCACTCAGCCTGCTTTGTGTAGACCTATGGTACGAGCATCAAGCTCACTTCAGTGTTTATTGTTTATTGTATACTGGCGACCAGTGACTTAGGACTTGTGGTCACCAGTGACTTAGGTTCAGCTGTTCCATACTCCTAAGTCATCAGCGAACTGCAATGTGCACGGTAGAAACCCTGTCCCAACTAAATGCTGATGACTTAGGACTACTGTACGAGGCAAATCCGGAGCTAACAATTTTTGGCCGCTTTTTCATTGTTTTAGCCTGATGACTTAGGACTAGTGCTAAAATGTCAAATATTAACATTTCCTAATGACTTAGGATTAGTGTTTCTGCAGCTATGTCCGCCTAATCCTGGGTCACTTGCATTGTGCTGCATTTGTTCAGTGGAGCAGCTCAATGCGAGTTGTCTCCATCTAAAGTTCCATGCAGTCTGATAACTTGAAACTTCCCGCGGACTCCTCCATGATTGGATCTGCTGTATCATGCTGATTGGCCAAACGTCAAGCCCAGCCTTTGGATACTTTGGCCGTTTGACACTACTTGCTTTCACTTGAGTCCACTTTCTCTAGACAAGTTGCACCTCCTATGTGGAACCTTGATCGGTGTCCCACTTAGCCCGACCCTACAGCAGCCGTGCTTGGACCGTCCCCACGACGCGACCTGCAAAAAGACACACTGGGCGCGCCCAACACCTCGCCTCATGGTGCTCGTTCACCTTACGCAACTGTGTCATGGCACAATCGTCGTTCGTCTCCGCACCTGCGTGCCGACACCGGTGTCGCTTCACCGGTGCTCGTGTCGAAACTGTTGTTGATCGTTGTTATATCGACTATTTTGGACATAGTTGTTCATGGAACGACTATTGTTACAATGTGTGTTGGAAGCTTGGGGTATATATTTTGATTTTTCTGCAGCTGATCTTCAAAATGTCAAAATTCAACCAAGAAGTTGTGTCAAGAAGTTGGATGACAAGGGATTCTCTGAAAGACCTGTTCGACGAAGGATTCTCTTCATGGTGTTCAAAGATTCTCCGTTGGACTGATGACAAGCATTCGATTCAATCTTGATGGTATTATCTAATCCATTTGGATTGTTTGACACCTCTTCATAATAAGATGGGGGTCGACATACAGTCTACATATATACTAGTACACTAAATTAAGAGACCCTTTCAAGTGGACTCGGTGTTCATTTCAGGGCCATACGTACCCTCTGTAAACCTAGTTGCGTAAGCGGAAAGAGCACCCGCCAAAGTACATACAACATGTCGCACGGCAAGAACAGCACTGCCTTCTTCCAGAAACACCCTCACATTCTGGTCGTTCACTTGTCCACGGGCCCAGTTTTGGCAGTTTCTGTGCGTTTTCCTAGCCTTGATTTTTTGGCAAGCACACATCAAGAAATATTCAGTCTTGTCGCTTGTCCATGCAAAGCGGCCTTGCCCAACTTAACAAGGTGGCAAACACCATATATTTGAAGGTCGTCAAGCGCTTGTGTTACGAAAAACACGTGAAAATATCACATGTGATTGTCCCGACAGCGCCTGCCAGCCCACAGATCAGAAGGAGCAAGCCTGGTTGGTTCCACTCCAAACATGGCGCATGGAACTGGTCGATGAAAAGCTTTGGGGTGGCCCAAAGCCAAACATGAGAAACAGTCTATAGTCAAATCACGTGGAGATGGTCGACACTTCAGGATGGTCACCTTGAGATGTTGGGAAGTTCAGACCGGACCAACTGCCATGAACTCTTTACCGTGGCACGGCTCAAAACAGAACTTGAAGACCCAGTTGTTCTGTCTCCCTCAAGATATTTTAACCAGATTGGTATGATTGGTGTGTCGTGTCGTGCGAGTGAAGAACGTGACCGAGTCGTTGAACAAACATCCCGACCTTCGCCTTTGACTTACTGCTTTGACCAATGCAAATCTCCTCGGCCCACCGAGGAACTCCAGCGAATTTTTATCGTAAAAGCACTCCAGCGAACTTGACACTTCTCTCACCATCTCTTTCCGTTTGTTTTGGTCACTTCTTTCCACTTCATTCCACCTTCATATTATCCTGAACACTATCCTGAACATTCCTGAACATAGATTTGGTACGTAGAAGGTTCGACAAAAACAACAATAGCCGCAGCCCCTGTCCTGCTTTGCTAGTGATTTCATGTGATATCATGGTTGTGTCCACACGGAAATCCACTTCAGAACAACTGCCCGGAATGTCCGATCCTTCCACCGGATGCGGCAGAAGCTGCCGATTCCACCTGGGCCCCGAGACTCGCCCCGTTGCCCCCCAAAACGCCAACCGATGGCGATCTCGCCTCCCACGCGGTACACCATAGCCACGGGATCGACACGTAGAAATGATTCGGTACTTTGAGCCCCGGCGAACAGGCGCCAAACGCGCGGAGAAGGAACAAGCCGAATGGGGAGACGTCAAACGAACGCAAAAGCGTTGGTTGATCGCTTCGTGAAAACTGCACACGTGGATGAATATAATCTAAAAAAACACTGCTGCGACTGACAATGCCCAATGGTGGTGGTGGTGGTGGTGACATGTTTGGGGCATTGGTGTTCAAAAGCCTGGACTGGGTTGCATCTTTAAACCATTTTACTTTGCTTTGGCACCAAATGGACAGGAACTCCGCTTTTGGGGGGTGGCTGTCCACTCTGGTCATAAAGCAGTACAGTAGCACAGCAGTTCCTGGCTATCCTACTGGGCAAGGTATTTAGTCCTGCAGAATCTATACTTTAGGAATTACCGCAATTTTGGAAGGAAAACATTTTGGGTAATTGGATTGCTTGAAGCTTTGGGTACCTGACATCAGTGAATTCCCTGTCCAACGACGAATTCAACCACCGCCCTACATGTGCCAGTCCCATGGATTGTCAGGGATTATAGTAAGCTCCAATTCCAGTTTTAAGACCTCAGCGAAATGGGAAACCGGTCTTCGAGAGAGCATCTGATCTACTTAGGACTTAGGCCACTGATTGTGGATTGCCTGGACAAACTAGGACGATGGACAAGAACCACTTGCGGAACTCGGTCTTTGGGTGGTGTGGTCTTCCCCGGAAAGTACAAAATGTATAAAGCTAATTATTCAGATTAAATTGACTGAATCATGCTAAATTCTATAGAATCTAGAGTATATTCAGCTGTAGTGTATATTCAGATTAAATCTAGAATCTAGTTGATCGAATGAATCAAACACCCCCCAGTGACCGCCGCAACGAACCGGAAGTCATCATCGTCCGAGGGACATCGACGTACTCCCCCGTGACGGCCGCAACGAACCTTGGTGCTGCGGTGGTTCGGTGGGTTCCCCCACGCGGTTTGCTTCCCCAAGCAGCCGAGCATAGCCGAGCATCTCCGTTGGTGTTCAGGTCAATATAGTTCCTATCTATATGAAGAGTGCTCTGTTGGCAAGTTGGTAAAGGACCATAATCGATTCCTGGTCTTATTGCTTTCCGCGCGCTTGGTTCTGATGAGGTTCGAGGGTATCCTCACGATGAGACATGCAATGATCACAACAAAAGAAGACACTGGTCACTGGTCACCAAAAAAAAACTCCCACAAGACTTGGGACTATAAATCCTCCAAACTCCTAAACATGAAGCCTCCAACTGTTCTCCTTTTGTTCGCTTCCCAAGCCCCCAAACTTCACTCTGCGCCTTTGCTTGGGCCCTCGCACTCCGGAACGCCGCCCCCAAAAAGATCCAAAGAAGGGGGATCCAACCACCACAACTCCGGCTCCGCCTCTCGAGGCTCCACTGTCTTCGACCGGTCAACCGGTCCGGTGAGGGGCCCCACCAGGGTATGGATGTTGCATGGTCGTAGAACCCAAGGCTATTCGTGGACAGTTCGTGGAATGGTGGGCCAGTAGGAGAACTGACTGCAACGAAATCCCAGAAACCTTCGCAGAACTTCGTGGAAGGTACTTGTATTTTTGATGCACTAACTTCGTATAAGTGATTTTTTCTGACCCCCTTTTCTCCACACACCCTCGTCGATCCGTTGCGCTGGCACCCACCTAAAGAGAAAAAGGTGCAGCCGGTCTGACCCCTCCGAACAAATACCATGTTTCTCCAGCCTTCTGCCGCTTGGGAGCATCGAATAGAAGGCGGCAGGCAAGGTTTCGATGTCCTTGTTCACGTAGACTGGCTCTCCCTCCTCACAGCACAAAGATAGACATATCATGGGTGTGTACAAAAATAGGGAACCCCCTCAGTTCGACCTCTGGGAAAATCAAACCGAGACTCAATCCGGTTGGGAGGTCTCTCTATTAAAATACATATATATACCAGGACCCTCCAAGGGGTGCACACTACCTATAGGCTTCCATTGGGCACCCTTGGAGGGTCCTGGTATATGTTGATTTCGTTGATTCCCAGTCTCATCGTGAGAACTTCTCATCGCCAAAGGACACTCGTGAGCTGAGGGTGGAACTGCCGCAGATCATTGAAAACAGCAACAATTGAACACATAAATGCATACAAACACACAAAAACAAGGAAACCACCTAGAAACGCACCCCGAAACAAACAAAAAAGACACTCTCTTACCTGAATGTCCTCCACTGTATTGTGATGTATTGTGTGTGTGTTGTGTGACGCGCACTGTGGCACAACGCCCGGTCCACCCGAGGCCGCACGGTGAACCCCGAGGCACGCACGGTCGGTCTACCCGAGGCACGCCTCTTTGTAGGCCACGGCGTGCCAAGAACCCAACGTCGTCACAGAGATCCAAGCAAAGAACCTGATGGCACCAGCGGTGGCCCGGGTGGCGAGCCCGCAGCGTGAGTTCTTGTTGTTGGTGGAAAGACCGGGAGGTTTTGTTGTTGGGTGAGGATTTGGGTGAAGTGTGGTGCTATTGGCATGTTTGGGTTTGAACAAAACCTAATAAGTATACAGTATAGTGGTCTCTGACCTCAGCCTGAAATCAAAAGTCTCTCAAAAGATCTTAAAAGGTGGATTGGAACTTAAAACATCAATCCAAAAAGGCGGAGAACAATCCACGTCAGGGCCATTCCCCCGACAAAGCCAACTCCAAGGGCGGCAACGAGTGTCCCGCGGTAGTGGTTCAGTGCGGCCACGCGGGAGTTGAGCCACGCGTTCCAAGGGGATTCCAAGACGAACTGAATGAATATAGTCCGGCTGAGGGCAACGCGTTGAACTAAACGATGACAAAACTTAACCAATACTCCCTGGCTTCGTTTGAAAAGGACAGCTCTTTACAGTAGCTCCCTTCATCTCCCTTCTAAGCATCGGACCATAAAGGGTTATAATTTGTCATATGCCATATGCAACCCCTTGCAACAATAGGATTTGCCCCTTGTTCAGGAACCGATGATCCTCAGGTCCATCTGCATTTTGCAGGTACAAGCCCGGATCATACTGATCAGACCAACGCCGCAACGACCCGCAACGACCCGCCCTGAGATTCCGGCAGCATGGTGCCCCACAGGAACACGGAGATGGACATGAACTCCTCGGCGGTGGAAAACGCACGCGACCGGCACACGCCTTTTAAGGCCCGGCCGGGGCACGTGGGGGGCACGACACCCTGCTGAGATTGAACTAAAAGGGCCGAGGACGCAAGAGTCGAGTTTGTTGGTCCATGTGTTCTACAAAACATCCCCATGTTTCATTCCGCGTTTCTTTCTTTATCTTGCTTCTATCTGTGCCCTTCTGTGTCCGGCGACGTTTCTGGTTTCCAAAGGTCAGGGACCGGCGCCAGTGGCGCCGGGTATCCAAACGGGTAATAAACCAGTTAGAAAATTAACAAAACGGAACACCAGAATGGACATAATTGCTCACACGACTTACCCTTGCAACGGTTGCAACGGTCCTCACTTGCAAGCCAGGACTGCCCAAATTGGTCGCTCAGGTGACGACTGGACTAGCAATTGAGGATAAACAATAAGCGAGCCTTTTAAAAGCACGGAACAACGCTACAATGTGCACTAAAGACAGGTGTGATTCAAGTGTACACACTTGGATGCAACAATCAAGGTCAAGTAGACTTATATATTACAGACTGCGGTTTTACGTCTCCACGAGGGGAAATCATGCCCCCACTTGCTCAACACAGGAAAAGGGGCCAAAACTCGACAAACATGGTGAAGGCCCCTGACCGTTGCAAGAGAGTAGGACACATCCATGGACATGGTTGCCTGTGGTTGCCGTACGAAACGGAAGGTCTCGTCTTCCACAGACCCCGACGACTGGAACTCGGATCTTCAAACCAAACCTGAAAGAACCTGAACAACTAGTTTCTGGGCGCGCCGTCTACTGCGCTGACTGGGCAACGGCTCACAGAATAGAAACCTCAAGGAATAGCCACCCGTGGACAGGCAAACCCAGCCAACTGACTTCAATTGGACACAATATGACCAATTCGATTCAACGACGAATTGAAAAATGATGCAAAATAAAAAAGGCCGTTCTTCGGAATCTTCGTTTTTCCGACATGTTTTCTTTGGCTGATAGGCACACATTGCGGTGACCGGGGCGAGTGGGACGACCAAGCAAATGTCCGTCCGGTGCCCTCGGCGTGACTGGAATCACCACGGAGTCCCCACAGGCCGTGCGCATATTCCGGCTTTGGCACCCCAGCAAATCCCAGGAGCCTACCAGGACCCTCCAAAGGTTGTTCAATGGACTACCCCACACTACCTATAGGCTTCCATTGGGCACCCCTTGGAGGGTCCTGGTAGGAACCATTGTGTCATTACCCTTTGATCACACATGATCACACCATGTGGCAGACCTCTCCGCAAAGTGGGAGTCATGCCCGACATCAATGCATACGAATTTGCGGCGCCGAGGCTCCGTAAACATCTTCAGGTTGAATATGCTTTTGAAGAGCGACTGAACACCTTTCCATGGCCGATGGTCGGGATATGTCGGGATGGTTGGTCCACCACCCCCCGTTAACCTTGAACAAAGGCGGGGGGGGGGTCTCCACTTGAGGCACAAAGCGGGTATAGGTATGTACCTTGCATGGTGGTTATATAATATGTTATATAATATGTTCTATAGAGACATTTGGGCATGGCCAAAAACCCTGGTATGGATCGTTCCGCGGTGCTACGACCATGATCCATACACCATGGATCACGGCTCTGACCAAGCCCTATGGTTCACGCAACTTGTTTACTTGACCCAACCCTCGTGAAAACCTGATAGAGTGGCGTGTCCACATCTGTGCGCGCGCGCAGCTCACCCAAGAAAAACAAGACCAAGAGTTCACAGTCAAATGACACCTTCAATACATTGGCGTTCGGTAAACATGTCCGGTGGCTCATACAGAAACTGTGCACCAGTGCAAATCACACCCA